CTATTTCCCCATTGACTCTCAAGTGTTGAACAGTGTCACATAACTCTGGTTATTTTTTCTTGTTAGGTTATTTATCATAAACAAGGATGTAATAGATTTTGTTAGAGCCCACTAAATTTCATGTCAAACTAATTAAAAGTTCAAAATTTCATGAAATTATACAGGCATACACTAAAGTAATGTCTTAAAGTGGTTTTTCACAAGGGGAAAATGGAAAATTGAGGGAAACAAATTTTATATGTAAGATTTGAAATTTCTGTTTTTATATATAATACTAACTGTTTATATATGATGATACATTCCTAAGTAAAAGTACTTGGATATTTTAACTTGAGACTAACTAAAAGCATCTTATAGCTATTGTCATAACCCTGTGAGAAGTTCCTAACAAATCTAAAATCGAAGGATGATGACTAATAATTTTATAATTTCCCCAATAATTATAAAATATATGCTGAAGAACAAGATACAGATACATGTGTTATAAAGATTATTTTAGTTTTTTAATACTAAATAGTTTTATTTATTAGGATATAAAAATTACATTTAATATTTTTATTCAAAAGACTCATGCAAATGTGATACCGGAATCGACACACTATTCACCAATTTGGAGAGCTTTTGCTTGAGGGAAGAGGTATAAATAGTGCTTCAGTGAGTATGCTTAAAGTCCAAGTGCTTCTGTTCATCTCCTGATAACCATTTACTGCTGGTAAACTTGGACAAGCAGCCTCACTCTCTATTTAGCAGAGATACAGCATCTGAAGGGCTTCCCTGGTGGCTCAGATGGTAAAGAATCTGCCTGCAATGCGGGACACCCAGGTTGGATCCCTGGGTCAGGAAGATCCCCTGGAGGAGGGCATGGAAATCCACTCCAGAATTCTCGCCTGGAGAATCCCCATGGACAGAGGATCCTGGCAGGCTACAGTCCATAGGGTTGCGAAGAGTGAGATAGGACTAAGCAACTAAGCACAGTATAGAGCACCCTGAAAAATAGTAGTAACAATAATGATAATTTTTTGTTATAGTTGTTACAATGTGCTATTAATTAGAAAGTAAGTGGTCATTACACAAGTCAAAATACAAACACCAATTACAATGTTTAAAACATTCATCTCTTTGTCTTCCATTAAGTAAGAGGCTATAAATAGACATCAAATTAGGGGATGTAGAATCATATATGCAATCTCCTATTCTGTTATTATATAGATTATTTTATGATTACATGCCTCAAAGTAAAATTTAAGAAGAATTTCACTTGGTTAAAAATAAAAGAAGAAACAGAAAATCTGAAATATCTACCTAACAGCTAAATAAAGATGAACTTGGGGGGAAAAAATGAAATGAATTTTACAAATAAGCACAAAGCCTAAACTATTCAACTTCTGGAGAAAAGACTAAAGAAAATCTAATATATTGGAGTAGCTTGATAATTCTTAGAACACAGATTAACCATATAATGTTGACAAACTCTGTTTTGTCCAACTTAAAAACTATTCTTAAAAGACATCATTAGAAAATTAAAACAAGCCACTATGGACTGTTATTGAAAATGTATAAACAATACAGACAAGACAATAACATGAAGATTATCAAGCCAATGAAAAATAGGAAAACTGTCTGAACAGATATATCATAGAAGATGATAAAAGAATAGTTAATAAGTTAATAAAAATCAATAAAATCAGTACTCATTAGGAAATGAAAGCTAAAGGTAAACCACAGTGACAAACCACCACATACCTATACTGAACTAACATTAAATACATAAGTAAGTAATGGACAAACAAAAACCTACAATTGCAAAACTTTGAGGCAACATGAAACATCTAGAGAGCATATAGAGCACCACTTTGGAAAACTGTGCTGCAGTTTTAGAAAGTCAGGTACACACTTATGTTATAACCTAACACCTATACTCTTTGGTATTTTACCCAAGAGAAATGTACACATATGTATACACTAAAACGTGTACAAAAATGAGCATGGAAGATTTGGTACTAACAACCCACTGAAAACAACCCAAATATCTAACTAATGAATAGGTAAATGAATTGTGATATGTACGTGTATGCACAGGGTGGAATACCATTTATTAACAAAAGTAGTAAATCACAGATGCATGCAGAAACATNTCGGGATGGGGAACACATGTAAACCCATGGCTGATTTATGTCAATGTATGACAAAACCCACTACAATACTATAAAGTAATTAGCCTCCAACTAATAAAAAAAATCAGCAAGGATAAGGAAGATCTGATCAAGATTCATAAATTTGAATATATGTATATTTTCATAGCTTGCAGAAACATTAAATGAAACACATTCTTTTTAAAGGCAGATTTGGGGCTTCCCAGGTGTCCCATGAACAGAGGGCAGCATAGGATTAGATGGCTGGATGGCATGAGTTTGAGCAAACTCTGGGAGATAGTAAAGGACAGGAAAGCCTGGCATACTGCAGTCCATTCGGTCACAAAGAGTCTTCTAATGACTTAGCAACCAAGCAACAACAATAAGGTGGAATTAACTACCTGCCAAGGAGACATAAGAGACATGAGTTTGATCCTTGTGTCTGGAATATCCCTGAAGGGCATGGCAACCCATTCCAGTATTCTTGCTTGTAGAATTCCATGAACAGAGAAGCCTGGCAGGCTACAGTTGAGAGGGGTATCTTTGAGTCCAATATGACAGAAGCAAATGAGCATGCACCCATGAAGAATCTTTATAAAATTATTTGTATGGTGGTTCATGATGCAAGCTATAGTACCTTTTCAAATGCTTTCACTGGTCTTTCCATTTAAGAAATTAACAACACAATTCTTACAGGTTTTCTCATAAAATATTTTAAAAAGAGGCAAAATACATGCCATGTAGTGTCATGTTTCAGGGAGAGAATTTTGCTTTTTTTTTCTTTTATCTTCTCATTTCTTTTCCTTCCTTACAATCAGCCGCTCAATTTGGCTGTTTTCTTGCTCTCTGTACATCCCCTGCCTGACCACACTTACTCCTTACTCATATGACTGACCTTCTGCTCCAGGCCCCAGCTATTAGTCATTTCTTTTTGCCTAGGGGCAGTGAGAGATGTGTCTCTCTGCTGTTTTCCCTGGTAACTAATGGGGCTATCTGAGGTCAATTCCCCTATAACTGGTAATCTCCCCTACTCCAGCCCTCTCTCCCCAGAGTGAAGACAGCCACCATGCCCTGCCCATCCATGAGCTGCACATGGTGGGGTGTCCCTTCAGGATCTTGCTTCAGAAGTGTAAAATCCACTGAACCATTGATGTCTTTAACACTGACTCTGAGCTCTTTCTTTGATCTTAAAGCTGGGAAAGAGCAGACCCATAGGCCTGAGGGGTTGCAGCCCAACACCTCCATTCTTCTTTTTCTTCATTTTCAACCTCTTTTTCATCCTTCTTCCTTCTTTCTGTACTCTATTATTCAGCAAAAATTACTTATAAGGCATTTTACCACTTAATGAGGTCTGTTGTTGTTCAGTCCCTAAGTTAAAGTAAAGTGAAAGTCTCCCAGTGAAAGTCCGACTCTTCGCAATGCCATGGACTCCATGAAATTCTCCAGGCCAGAATACTGGATCAAGTAGCCTTTCCCTCCTCCAGGGGATCTTCTCAATCCAGGGGTCAAACCTAGGTCTCCCGCATTTCAGGCATATTCTTTAAAGCCCAAGAATACTGGAGTAGGTAGCCTATCCCTTCTCCAGAGGGTCTTCCAGACCCAGAATTGAACGGGGGTCTCTTGCACTGTAGGCAAATTGTTTACCACCTGAATTATCAGAGAAAAACCTGTTCAGTCCCTAAGTGGTGTCCATTTCTTTGTGACCCCATGGACTATAGCATGATGGGCTTCCCTGTCCTACGCTATCTCCTAGAGTTTGCTCAAACTCATGTCCCTTGAGTTAGTAATATTATCTAACCATCTAATCCTCTGTCATCCCCTTTTCCTCTTGCCCTCAATCTTTCCCAGCATCTGGATCTTTTCCAGTGAGTCAGATTTTCAAAACAGGAGACCAAAGTATTGGAGCTTCAACTTCAGCATCAGTCCTTCCAATGAATATTCAGGACTGATTTCCTTTAGGATTGATTGGTTTGATCTCCTTGCTGTCCAAGAGACTCTCAGGAGTCTTCTCCAGCACCATGATTCGAAAGCATCAGTTCTTCAGTACTCAGTCTTCTTGATGGTCCAACTCTCACATTGAAACATGACTACTGGAAAAACTATAGTTTGACTATATGGACCTTAGTCAGCAAAGTGATATCTCTGCTTTTTAAAGTACTGTCTAGGTTGGTCATAGCTTTTCTTCCAAGGAGCAAGCGTCTATTAATTTTCTGGCTACAGTTACTGTCCACAGGGATTTTGGAGCCCAAGAAAATAAAATCTGTCCCTGTTTCCACTTGTTCCCCATCTAATTGCCATGAAGGAATGGCACCAGATGCCAAGATCTTAGTTTGTTGAATGTTGAGTTTAGAAAGCATTTTACCACTCAATGAGATTTAAACTAGAATATAAAAATTAAAAAACCACAGTTATTAAATTTGTGGAATTTTAAACTTCATACTGAGGTCTAATATTTAATATAATGAAACATAATATGAAAATAAAACAGGAGTAAACTCAGAGAGACATACTTTGGCCACCTGAGGCAAAGAGCCAACTCATTGGAAAAGACCCTGATACTGGGAAAGATTGAAGTAAGGAGGAGAAGGGGACAACAGAGGATGAAATGGTCAACAGTTGGATGGCATTGCCAACTTTATGGGCACTAGTTTGAGGAAACTCCAGGAGTTGGTTCAGGACAGGTAAGCCTGGCGTGCTACAGTCCTTGGGATCACAAGGAGTCAGACACGACTGAGTGACTGAACAGTAGAGAGACATACAAATTTGAATGGGTCTCCTAATGGATTCATAACTGGGGAACATTAGCTGCAACATCTTAGAATTTTTATTAATTTCAAATAACCTCCTCTATTACTTATTAGTTCTGACCTAATCTCCAAAGTATTTACCTCTCAGAGTCGAAATAACATATTAGTTTGAAAACAGGTTACTAATACCTATTACAAAAGGATATATTAAGGATAAAGTTTTCTCTATTAAATATATTCTAGATAATTAAGAATTAGTATTCCTCAGCAGTCCACATGACTGATATGGATCATGATATTGGCTCTGTTCTTATATGTTTTGCACAGTCTAGAATTTTTTTCAGTGCAAATTTGACATCCCTATTCCATAGGCTATAGATCAGGGGGTTTAGCATGGGCACAATGATGGTATAAAACACAGAGGACACTTTTCCTTGGTCCATAGAGCTGACTGATGATGGCTGCAGGTACATGAATGCTGCAGATCCATAGAAAATAGCAACAGTTGAGATGTGAGAGCTGCAGGTGCTGAAGGCTTTGGACCTGCCCTTTGTGGAGTGGATTTGGAGGATGCTGTAGAGGATGAAGATGTAGGAAGAAAGAATAACTAAGGCAGGAATCAAAATGTTAAATGCACTTAAGAATATAACCAATAATTCATTGACATAGACGCTGGAACAGGATAGCTCCAAGAGTGGGAAGAGATCACAGAAATAATGGTTAATGATATTGGTCTTGCATAAAAAGAGTCTCAACATAAATCCTGTATGGATTGTGGATCCAGTGATGCCCATGATATAAACGCCTATCGTGAGGCAGAAGCAGATGTAATAAGACATGATGACATTGTAAAGCAAGGGGTTGCAGATGGCAACATAGCGGTCATATGCCATTGCAGCCAACATGTGACTTTCTGCAATAGCAAAAATGATGAAGAAATAAAGTTGAGTCATGCATTCAGGATAGGAGATAATATTCTTCTCTGTCACAAAGTTCACCAGCATTTTGGGGGTAATGACAGTGGATTGACAGAGATCAATAAAGGACAAACTGCTGAGGAAATAGTACATGGGGGTGTGCAGGTGAGAACTGAGCCCCGTCAGTGTGATCATGCCCAGGTTTGCCACCACCGTGACCACATAGATTCCTAGGAAGAGGAGAAAAAGGGGCAGCTGTAGTTGTGGCTGATCTGTGAGTCCAGCGAGGATGAACTCAGTCACTGAGGAGTGATTTCCAGGGTCCATTATCTTCTCAGTCAATTCTAAGTTGAAAGAGAAAATAAGTAGATTTTATGCCCGTGTGTGCATGTGTGTGAGTGTCTGTGTGTACGTGTGTACATGTGAGTGGGTTCTCGGGAGAGTAATTCTGGGAAGGTCATTGTTTGATGTCTCATCAAAAGAGACTCATGATGCAGAGGTCTCCTGAGTCTCTCTTGCTTCTCTGAGACAAACAATGATCCTAGTTGAACCAGGAAAACAAACAAACTTCTTCACAAAATTTATAATTAAGATACTTTATAAGATTTTAAGAGAAAATACCAATTTGTAGATTTTTAAAATCAAAGTGAATATTGCTATTGAGACCTCTGAAGACTTTTTCTTTATTCCCATAATCTTTATGTATGTCTTAATGATATTGATGTAAAATGGCATGGTATTTTTATTTCACTCAGAATATGTAAGAATAGTGTGTGCTTTCTCTAATAAATTAACAGAGGATTCATAAATCTACGAAAAACAATTCTATTAATTTTAGCTATTTTCCTTACTAGAATCATAGCCCAAAATATCTGAAGAACAGGAAATTATATATATCAGTTCACCTGAGGTCTACGGCTTTAATGTCCCAACTTCCTTCTCCCTGGACTTTGATCCCAGAGGGCAGAAACATAACTGCGTGGCAGACATCATCCTTATACCTCAGTGGCATTTCTAGACTTAGGAACTCCTCCTTTATTCTAATTTTGATAATCTTGGGGGTCAGAATATAATGACCTCAGTATAGGTCATGTATTCCACCACTGTGACCAGGGGATCAGTGTACAAAGTTTATTCCATGCAATTTGCACTTCATGGTTGATGGAAGAGGTGAGAAAACTATTTATATTTCCCCCAAATATGAGATGCATTTTGAAGACAAATACTAGGTCTCATTTATTCTCATCTTTTTTATTAATATTATCCTATATTTTGCAAATGTTCTTTATGGAATTCAAAGATGATAAGAGAGGTGGATTAGTAGAACACAAGCAAAATACAAATAGAAATTTTAATTTAAATTTAGTATTGGTTAACTTTGGCATGTGTTCATTGTTTAAAGATCAACTCACTTTCAGTTTACATTTGTACAGATAATGAGTAGAGTCTATAAAATAGAAAATCATAATCTTAGTTAAAACTCAAACAAACAATGGTTGGATTAATCTGTTCAGTTCAAGATGCAATACTTTATGTGACAAAAAAGATTGGAAAATTTCAGAACTAGGATAAATTTTTTTCCATATTAGAATGGACGAAATAACTGGGGATGTTTCTTCAGCAAAATAAAAACTCGTATAACCCCTGACAGGTATCTTATAGTTCAAAATATTGCTTTATTTAAGAGTTATTGGGCTTATTTTATATGTCATCAATAGAGTGAAGAAAAATAACTGCTTGAAACTATTGGAGAAATATTTCATTTTACAACAAAACAAACATTCCAATCATCAAAATGCCCAGATCTTACAATCAAAATGTTGATTTTGTTCTGAATAACTAGTTACGTAGCAGGCATTGTTAATAACAAGAAACATCTGATGCTTGGCATTTAATCTTTAACATCTCAAATTCACTGTTTCATGGTTCTATAATTTTTATAAGAATCTGCTTGCGATACATGACACACAGGAGACTAGGGTTTGTTGGGAAGATCCCCTAAAGTAGGAAATGGCAACCCACTCCAGTATTCTTGCCTGGAGAATCCAATGGACAGAGGAGTCTGGCAGGCTATTGTCTATGAAATCGCAAAGAGTTGGACATGACTTAGTGACTAAACACACACCTGTAATCTCTGATACTAAGTTAGAACTAGTGCATTGAAACCTCCCTGGACCCCATACTTGCCACATGATCTTGAGATAACCAGGTCTGCTCTGCAACTCTGAAAAAGCAAAAATCTGTTTCATGTGAAAATTAAGTAAAATGATTCTTACAAGGAGCTTAGCCCTGTCCCTGGCTCTTGTTAAGAAAATGTCAATGTTAATTTACTGTTAATCTATTCAGCTTCTCTCTATAATATGCTTTATTTGAACAACATTTTTATTCTTTAGTCATGGCCAGAGTTTTAAGGTTTCTTTTCCTTAGCACATCTTTTTGTTGCTCTTTTCTGCATTAACACATATGGTAATATAGAGCTTGAAATTTTTTTACTGAATATTAACTTCTTAAATTATTAATATTTTCCATGGTTTTTAAATAAAGTCAAGCCAAATTCTTTGTCATTCCAAGATTCATATCATCTGACAAGAGTTTTCTTTTTAATGTTTCAACAGGTACAACATGATTTAATTATTTCACAAAAGAGCATAATAGGCTCTCATTTTTTACTCAACAAATTTATTTAGCTCTTCTCACTCTATTCCCTTTACCTTATAAAGTGCACTTGATTTTAAAGATCCTTTCAGTTCAGTTCAGTTCAGTCACTCAGTCATGTCTGACTCTTTGTGACCCCATGAACCGAAGCATGCCAGGCCTCCCTGTCCATCACCAACCCCTGAAGTTTACCCAAACCCATGTTCATCAAATCGGTGATGCCATCAAGCCATTTATCTTCTGTCATCCTTCTCCTTCTCCTCAGCCCCTCAATCTTTCCCAGCATCAGGGTCTTTTCAAATGAGTCAGCTCTTCACATCAGATGGCCAAAGTATTGGAATTTCAGCTTCAGCATCAGTCCTTCCAATGAATACCCAGGACTTATCTCCTTTAGGATGGACTGGTT